AAGACAAAAAGTTAGATCTAAAGACCAGTACGATCTAAGTTTGAAAAGACACTCCCAGCAGACAAACACAAGCCAATCTTTCTTTTCATTAAACGTCTATTTTAGTCCCAGAGATCTAAAATCCTTCTTTAATAAGATTTTCTCTTCAACGACAAGCTCAATAGTCTTTCAATAAATCAACCGATGAAGGTCAATATAACTCTCTTCCGTTTCCGGAGAATGTAAGCACCAATGGAACAATGCGTAGGTATTCGTACGAGCTTCTCACGTCTATCTCGTCATTCTTAATTTAACTTGACCTAATATTACATATTACAACAAAAATATCCGATTAAATCGAAACAATCAAGCGTCCCAAACTCATGATGAATATATATATATCTTTATTATTCAATTACAAGTTACGCAAAACTTTATTTGGTAAGGTGGTACAGGCCGGGAGCTGCATCATGGCAACATAAGATATAAAAACCGGGTGACACATAATCTAGACGTGGGGACGCATCTAACGAATGCAAGGTAAGTCCACTCTGCCCGAATACCATAATACCTGGAAACCCACGCGGCACTTCCACTTTGAGAGAAACTAATCCTGTACAAGGTAATGGGGTAGTGATAGACTCTCAGAAGGGCATAGAGAGAGACCAGACCTAGCAGTACCTAATTGGCGACACGAGAAAGAAGAGGACACTCGAGTCGCACAGCTCCGACAAGTCCATGGCGTGTGGGCGTGTCGTGTCCTTCGTGTGTGCGTAAAGTCTCAACATGTGTCTTTGGTCTTGGATGAGTGTTGGCAGTCGTCGTGAAAATCGTGACGAAAGTGACGGAGGACGACTGCAACCCACCTGTTGTTGCGTTTTTATACACGAAAAATAGTGAACAAGTTTTACATAAATACTAACGAACTAATCGTCAACTTAATTTGGATTGAATTGCATATTTGCGTGAATCCTTTCTGGGTGATCAGACTACTCATATGGCCATTTAATCATTGCCCGTGTGAAGGTTAGTTGTCCCATACTTATCTATGAAACTTTATGGACATACCCAAGGTACGCGCGAGGTATTACGTGTTTCTGTCACGTTTCCTAAAAGACGACTAACCACCAGTTCCCAGAGATATTTAAAGATTTCCTGACTGAGGGTTTCAAGTGATCATTCCTGAACTGGTGGTACCACTGTCCTCACTCCGTCAAAGTGAAGTGAAATAGTGCACAATCAGTGTAGTTCACGTCAACCTCGATAATCCGAAATACTTGTGCCCTTGGGGGACGAAGGAATAGATTTCAACAGACTGAGCAGCTAACCTAAGTTACGTCGCTACGATGCGTAGTGACTCGAAGCTTTAGCGTGCCCTGTCGTTTCCCCTGTTTCTTCTTCCTTCTCGTTCCCGACTTTCCTGTTCTATCCCTGGCGGTTTGGTCGAGATATGAGACAAAGTTTCTGCAGGCGTACTGCAATCACTCCCGTTGAGGTGTACGATGAGGTGACTGTATCAAAACGGATGAGGCTTTAGTTTTCCGCCCCGTAAGAGTGCGAGAGCAACAGACAAGGCGAGGGGTGGTTGTCCGCGTCGATTTTGGCGCTTTCCGACGACTATTACATCCCGCAGCACACCGTTGACACTGGACGAGTAGAGGTGCCTATAAATTTTATGCATTATACAGATTAGCGAGCACAACAGGCGGTGTGCATGAGACAGAGATGACGACACATGACACTGACAGAAGGTTTTTGCGAATTTGAAGAGGGTCCTGGTTTAGACAAACATTTGTTTTGGCGGTGCGCTCGTGAGGGGAGAGAAGACAGATAGAGTGGTTTTTTTGTTGTGGTTGCTGGTTTGACACTGCGACGACACCTCGTTGTTTTTCGAACCCCAATAAAAGATGAAGAGTATCGAAGCAGTTAACTCTATAAACACTTGTGCAGGCTAGTCTGATGGTTTGTCAATGTCGAGGTTCTATTTCGTGTTATGGGTTATCTATCAACTTGCACGTGGAGTGTTCAGTGCGAGTGATTTTGTTAATAAGTTTTGGCGAGAGGCAAGACAAGGACGAGCGATAGACGGTTGTAGAAAGTTAGAACACGACACGTTAGGTTTGGGGTTGTGTAGGAAAGTCTTGAGTTACTGATTGTAATCCGTTGAATACCGTAAAGGTACTCTATCTTATATTTGAATCGGATAGGAAGTGGTGTGTGTACGTACTGGGAATTGGCAGGGGTTTGGATTACTAAGTGGGAGAGAATATCTTAACGATGTGAAACCCTCTAGAGAGTTAAACAGGAGGTATCTCCCTCCGCCTCAGGGGTTGTGGCACGACACATTTGTTTAAATCAGGGGGTGCATACATACGAGCATCCGGTGTGTGGTGTGGGGGGGTGGGTGGGTGGATGGATAGTGTGTGTTTGTGTTCGTGTGTGGTGGGTGTGCCGTGTGTGCGTGTGGTGATGTGTGTGTGTGTGTGATGTGTGTTGTGTGTGTGTGGTGTGTGTTTGTGTTGTGTGTGTGTGTGGGTGTGTGTGTGGTGTGTTTGGTGGTGGTTGTGTGTTGGATGGTGTGTCTGTTTCAGGTGTGTTTGTGTGTTTGGTGTGGTGATGTGTGGTTGAGGTTGATGGTTGTGTTGTTGAGTGTGTAGTTGGTGTGGTGGTTAGGAGTCGAACGTGGTTATTAGTTTTTTTAACGATGTTGGTAAAATATGACATATCAATTGATTGCAAATAGGATATCTTGGCTTTTTTTAGGGTATGATCGGGGGTAGAACTTTGTATGACTTTTGGAGACTGTGGTCGTGTTGTTTTTACCAGCACTGTCTTTAGGTACTGAGGAAGACGACAGCACCAACGTAAACGTCTCATAACTATGCGGAAATACTTAGAGTCATACTCATAGTGTAAAGTTTTCAGATTCCTCGTTAGCTATTGTGACCGTGGTGGCTGCATGGGAGTACTTACAGTGCAATGGAGAGAGTTTAATCCACCACTTTGAGACAATCGTCTCTTCATGAGTAAGGAGAAAGAGTTAGTAATCTACTTTGAGGAACTGAGAGAGTAGTACGGACGTTTTGACTTGGACTTTTACTGAGAGAGAGGCCCAGCGCGGGTAGTGGTGTCTTCCGGTAGGAAGAAGAAGAGGTGATACGGATAATGTAGATCAGGATACGAGACGAGGAGTGAGAGGAGGAGAAGTAGCATTTTAGAGTCTGTCTCTTTCCACGCCTCACCGCTAAGGAACGATTGTGTAAGATTTATTTCTTCCGTGGGGTAATACAAGAGCCTGTTTTACGTCTCCTCGTCATTGCGAGATAGTTCTGGAATATTATTGCTACGTCGTCTCGGCAAACAGGAGAGCGAGGCAGCCCGTTTTCAGACGGCATAGTTTAGCATCAATGATCGTCGTACGGCAGTTATTTATCCTGTCTGAACGAAGAGAGTGAAGGTTTTTTGTCAAAACGATTGGGGTCATACCGAAAATTGTACATTTGGCTGTCGCTACATGGCACGTACGACATCTGGTCCAAAGCGACAGCATTAATGCAAATTTGATTCCAAAAAAGTTTCCGGTGTTTAGTTTTCGGGTGTTTCCTTTTCACCTTTTAGTATTTAATACGGTGTAGTTTGTAAACATCTCCTACTTTATATATACGGAGTTGCAAACAACTATGTTATAATGATGAAATAAGGCGGACTTGCGTAAAGAGACTCTATATGAAGCTTAGGAATAACAACTTGTCGACGTCCCCCGACCGGGGTTAAACCTCGTACAATAAGAACAAACTAGAGTGGTTCGAACTGCCACTCCTGGTGTTACTCACAGCAAGTTTCGGATTTGTAGTACCTGGACTCATTCTGTGGAGGCTCTTCTCTTTGCCCTCTGTTTATCGGGTTTACCGAGACACACTCGATCTGACGAGTATTTGTTCTTCATATCTTGTCCCGATTAAAAATGTATAACAAGGTGATCCACTCTGAATAAGAAACATATTCTGTCAATCCAAAGTGTGTCGGGGTGTCTGCATGATCTCCTGGTCACATAGATGACAGTGTGTTTAATCTGCTATATCCTTTCTGTCTAATGTATTCTCTCTGTTCAATGTGTGTGTTTGTGTGTGTAGGTTTTCCAAAAGCCTATGTTAGAGTCAGGCAGGCTGAATGAGGCTGAGATGGCCATGATCTTCGTCAACTGGAAAGAACTGCTGGCCTGCAACACTAAACTTCTCAAGTAAATATCCCATGGAGTGTGATGTCTAGGAGAGAGAGTCAGTCTGATGGAGTGACATATGTTACAACTTCAGCTTTTTTTAAGTTATTTCTATAGACCTGTCTATACAAGACATAGATAGATAGATAGATAGATAGATACTTTATTTATCACATGTTGGGAAACTGTTTTGTCATAGCAGCATGTTTGACAGTCATTGTGCAACAATTACAACAATTCTTAAAAATAGAATAAAATACAAATACAATCAATTAAACATTTAAATCAAATGTATACATATTCACAGTAGGAAAGACGAGTATCCAAGAATACACACTATAAAAATATACAGAATAAATTAGGATACACTCTAATATAACAATCTACTAAAGGGACAGACACATATAAACAAAGTGTAGTATGAACATAAGAAAAGGATGAACAGTAGCTTTGAATGAAAAGTCAAATCTGGAGCACGGATGTTTATGCTTGTATTTATGTGTGTGCAGGGCGCTGCGTGTGCGTAAGAAGACTGGCGGGGACAACATGCCGGTGCAGATGATCGGAGACATCCTGGCCGCGGAGCTGTCCCACATGCAGCCCTACATCCGCTTCTGCTCCTGCCAGATCAACGGAGCAACGCTGCTGCAGACACGCATCGACAGCGAGCCGAACTTCAAGGACTTCCTCAAGGTAGGAAGGGTTAGACAGCGAGAGAGGAGTGGGGAAACAGAATGTAGGTCATAGTGGAGATGTTTCAAAGTACAGAGATTCTGCAGCTATATACATGAAGGTTAACATCTACATTTTGAACAAGTTTAAAACCATTGTTTTTTATTCCCATTAGAAAATTGCCACAGACTACAGGTGTAAAGGCATGCCGCTGTCCAGCTTCCTGCTGAAACCCATGCAGAGGATCACACGCTACCCACTGCACATCAAAAACGTAGGCCATCATGTTCATGAGCGTGTCTGTGGGAACGTCTCATTAAGTAGATCAAATACTGACCTTACTGTGTGTCATTAGAAGAAGAAAAAAAAACGTTTTACCTTTTCTCGGTGTAATTAACTTGTGTGTGTGTTTAGATCCTGGAGAGCACCACAGAGTGCCACTCTGACCGAGGACCTCTCAAAGAGGCTCTGGAGAGGGCGGAGGAGCTCTGTCAACAGGTTCACTCTCTCATTTATGACCTTACGTGTTACTTTAATCATATTTAGTAGTTTTAGCTTTTTACTGCATCCTGCGTGGGAAGGATTTGAATGATGTTTGTTTTTTATTATTTTGTTGATCAGGTAAATGAGGGCGTGAGAGAAAAGGAAAACTCGGACAGACTGGAATGGATTCAGAACCACGTACAGTGTGACGGTGCTGCAGAGGTATTAAGATTATCAATGAACTTGCAATTTAGCGTGAAATAATTGTATAATGTATCATACATTTATGAATGCATAATCTCAGAGAATATTTGATCCTAATGACGTTTTTTTCTTTCTACAGAACCTCGTCTTTAACTCGCTCACTAACT